TGAAGTGAATCAGGTGATTTCTAACTTATTCCTGATTGGAGAAATCATCATCTTTCATTTATATATTTATACAGGGGTTAAAGGGATAGTTCACCCAAAAATGAAAATTACCCCATGATTTACTCACCCTCAAGGCATCCTAGGTGTATATATGACTTTCTTCTTTCAGACAAATACAATCGGAGTTATATATAAAAAAATGTCCTGGCTCTTCCAAGCTTTATAATGGCAGTGAATGGCTGTTATTTTTCATTAGTCCAAAAGAAATCCAATAAAGCGCATCCATTCATCCTAAAAAGTGTCCTACATGGCTCTGGGGCAGTGGCGTAACTACAGACAGTGCAGGCAGTGCAGCCGCACTGGGGCCCGTGCCGCGGGGGGGCCCCGCAGCGCACGCGGGCCCTGCCCACATTGCAAGCGACTATAGTAATATAAATGAATAACGAACGTATTAATAATAAAATACAATTAGTACCGAAATTCTTCACAGAACTGAATAAATATATAACTTCGGCAAATAATGTATGTGAGCTTTAGTGGTCAAGTGGTAGAGCTTTTGTCAAGCATTTCCGAGGTTCTGGGTTCTAATCCAGCCCCGTGTAGTTTTTTTTCTTCTCCCATTAAAACCAAAGGTGTTCATGTAATAGCCTGCACTGGGGCCCATCATTACTAAGTTACGCCACTGCTCCGGGGGATGAATAAAGGCCTCCTCAATGCATTTTTGTAGGAAAAATATCCATATTTAAAACGTTATAAACGGTAATCTCTAGCTTCCGCTAACTTTCGTACACACGTGCACAATAGAACACCTTTCCAACAGCTGACGTAGGACATAGGCTTAGCGTAAGCTCCGGTGACAATATGGTAGTCTCACAAGAACCAAGTTTTGTTTATAGGAGCAAAGGAAGCAAAGTATAATTTGTTTATCAAAGGAAAACCAATGTCCTATTGGCTTATATTGAAATCCTCTAGCATTTTTCTTTACAAGTCCTCATTTTGTACTTCTAATTCGTGACTGGTGTTTTGTTTTGCTCTCTCCTCTGTGTTTCCGCATTCATCACTTCTCACCGGAGCTTACGCTAAGCCTACATTCTACGTCATCCACTGGAACGACGTTCTTTTGTGAATGCATGTCCGACAGTTAGCGGAAGCTAGAGATTACCATTTATAAAGTTTTAAATATGGATATTTGTCTGACAAAAATTCATCAATTCGCTTCAGGAGGCCTTTATTCACCCCCCGGAGCTGTGTGGGACACTTTTTTATGATAGATAGATGCGCTTTATTGGACTTCTTTTGGACTAATGAAAAATAACATTCCTGGAAGAGCCAGGAATTTTTTTAATATAACTCCAATTGTATTCGTCTGAAAGAAGAAAGTCATACACACCTAGGAAGCCTTGAGTAAATCATGGGGTAATTTTCATTTTTGGGTTACTTTAAATGGGTATAACCATTTGAGAGAGCCTTCTGCTATGAGAACTTAAATGCTGATCAAAATCATTCTTGGTTTGTTGGAGCAGGGTTGGCACTGAACTACGCAGAAAAGTAGATCTCCAGAAATATGATTGATCACTCCTGATGTAATATTTTTAAGTAAAGTTTTTGAATGGTAGTCAATGGGGAAACATGCTTTTTGGCTATGTAGTCCCAGGCAGTACAGTTGATTGGCCCAGTGGAAAGGTTTCACTAAACAGATAAGGGAATGAGTGTTGAGCTCAATCATCTCATTGCATTTGGAATCCAAATAAAGACATTGTGGGAATCTAACAAGAAAACAAGTGTTACCATCTCCCCACAGGCATTTTGCAGCCAGTTCACATAAGTTAATAATTAGGTGGCATAGTATCTTTAGGGTCCTAACAAACAAAAAAAAGTCTACCGCTTAATTTGTTAATGTATAAAGAAATTTATTTTCTTTGGGAATATTGTACAGTAATGATATAATCAATCAAGCATACCATTTTACTATTTGGTTGTTTGGTAAGTGAGTGATACAGCAAAATCACAATATGTAGCTTTACAAAAACAAGACTTCAAACTGAAAGCTGGAATAGACAATATGTAAAATAAAAAGCTGCAGTATAAAGCCAATGTGTTAATAATAAAAAAAATAAAAAAATAAATGGTTGATATATTCTAATGAGTAAGTGCATGACAGTATAACACTGCTTTAAGAGTGTCCAGTGACAAATAATTGTGTGTATATAATTAATTACTTTTTCGGCACTAGTAACCTGTTTATTCTTTATCACAATGTCTTTCATTTTTCTTTGCCAATTACACTGTACACATTTATTTTTATTAAATAATGTTTTCCCACTAATTCTGTATACATGTACGTTTTATTTATTTATTTATTACAATATAGAGTATATAATAAATGCCGCCATCTGGTGGTTCTCTAAAGAACAGCTTTCAAAAACAGCCTTACATTGTGCATTGCATGAACAAGAAAGTGGTTTTCACAGGTAAAGTAATTACAAGTTACCTGCAGAAGAACATTGTTTTGTTTTGGTTTCATGAATATGAACCATGTGATAGCCTTATCAGTGAGAATGTCACTAGTGATATAAAAACTTCCCCAATAACTAATAAAAGACAGACATCCAAAAATATCTCTTATGAACAGGTAATTAGCTTTCATTCTGTTGTTATTTTGACTTGTTGAAAACAATTGTTTTAAAATAACATTACAAAAGTTTAGCAATGCTGACATAACGACATCTATTCATATCAGATAAGGTTAAAGGTTAAAACTATTATAACTTCTCTAAGCTATTTATAGGCAAATAGACCAGATTTTAGAGATTGGCACTGTTACCAGCATAAACATTGTTTTGTGAACATAGTCAAAGAACAGCAAATGTGATGCTATTCAAACTTTCTCTTTTGATATGTGAACTACTTTCAGTTCAAGGTTCATTGTTGTTGCTTCAAGCCTTTCACTACATATAGTAGTAGCCTGTCCCTCTTCGCCCGACAGCTTTAAAATATCAATAATTATTATAGGCTTACCATAGTGATTTAGAGGAAGGAAAAAACACTGTTTGGAAATTAGAGCACTACTGTCCTGCAACTTAGGGTTAGGGTTAACCCTTCAGGTCCAACCCCAATCAAACACAACTGAACCAGCTAATCAAAGTGTTCAGGGTTACTTAATAATTGCAGGCAGGTGTGTTGGAGCAGGGTTGGAACTGAAGTCTGCAGAATGGTACCTCTCCAGGAGTAGGGTTTGAGATCCTTGTGTTAGGCACTGCCCAGATCATGACGATTATAGCTACCATACACATTAGTTATGTGGCTAGCACAACATATGCAGCAAATAAACAAACAAAGGACAAAATTTCAGGTGCACAAGGCAGGAAGAGGGGCAGAAAAAAAGCTCTAAATTGAAATGGACACTGTGGTTTTTGTGTACTTTCTTTAAAATGAATTCATTAGGAAACTGCGGTTATGGCATTTCCATATTGTGACATACATCAGACTGAAACATCACAATAGGTGGGGCAGTATTTGGTTTTGTCCATCAGTAATTTATTGGCCCAATGACATTGGTTAATTTTTGCAGCTGCATCATGTGAGCGATGAGTTTCTGGAGGAGAAGGACTGAAACTCATCTGGTTACGCATCTTATTTCCCAGCCCTTGCATTGCTGTACACGTCATCATATAAAATATGAAATTGCAAAGGGGGGCAGGCATGTTAATGTTTTTGATCAAAGGTCTTTTTTTTTCTTTTGTATGATGTACACTGATAAATAATTTATAATAAACACTGCAATATTACAACAAAAAAAATAAGGAAAGAATTTTCAACTTTGATTCATAGTGACTTCTATAATGTCATAATTTCAGTTATATTGTTATATTGTCTGGTATACTGCAAACTCCAAAACTGTTTCTTCTTTTAAAAAAGACAGTGATTAGGCCTGTAGTGTGAAGCATTCATAAACTGTGAAGATTTAAGTTTGGGTATGTCATTTTCCACTCTGCTCAAAAGTGGAGGTGATAGTTAAAAATCAGACTCAAAATTACAAAGAAATATATAAAGAAAAACGTAATTATAAAGCCTATGTTTTGTAGGTCTATTTTGGATACACATTTTATAATTCAAATTGCTTTCATTTTTTATTTTCCTTCATATTTCAAATGGCTTACTTTTACGCTTTTACCATATCAGAGCATTACACTTTGATTTGCTAATCTTGGAGGCTCCTCTAAAGGGAAGGGGCTTTCAAAGTGATAGAATATAATCAAACCCTTCAAATTGGTTATTGAACTGATGGTGTTGCCCACCCTAATTTCAAAACCTCCTAACAACAAACAGTAAAGTTGTTGTATTGATAACTACAATTATTATTAAACCTATTATAATATGGATAAAGTATGGTTTGATTTTTGTGGTCCAGGTTTTTCAAACTATTCCTAGACCCTCCCCAGTACTGCACATTTCGGTTGTCTCTTCTCTGTCTAAAACCTCTTTAGACCCTCATGACTGAGATACGGGGACGTTTAACCCAGATAAATTAGTCGTCAGCTGATCAATAAGCAAATCCATGAACTGAGCTGGTCAGTATGATTGATAGGGGCTCAGACTTTCCCTCTAAAATCTATTCATTCATCAGTCACTGTTATTTATCAGTGATATATTTATCAATGCTTCTCCCCCCACCCTTGCACATTTTGGATGTCTCCTTTATCAGACACCAGGACAGGTTTGAAAAGCACTTGGAAAACAGACCAAAAATATGCAAAGAACTCAGCCCCTTATAATTACCAGGTTTGACTACCCCTATCTTTTTTTCAATCTTAAAGCTACTCCTCAAATGCTCCTCAATGCCCCTGACATGGTATCAGCTGCAAGAACACATGCAGCCCAAACTGAAGCAGCATCTGGCAAAAAGGTTGCAGCACAGAAATGCACAAACACCACCACACACTAATGGATTAGAAGTAATAATTTAAAAAGATAATTTTTTTTTGTATTTGTATTTTTTTGGGGGGGGGTCCTGCATAGTGCACCTTTAAGATTAAGAATAGTTATATCTGTTAATTAGAAGGGTGTGTCCACATACAGTACATTTGGCCATACAATGTATATTTGGCAACAATTTATTTTTTTCATGAAAAGCTGGATGGCAATTGAGTAATCTGCTTTATCATCTTTCCTCACTCTCCTCAGCCAAAGAGTTTGATGAAGCAGGGGTGGCAGTATGGTTTGTTGTCCTGCTCTTTGAAGCAGCCTTTGCTGAGGGGTTTCAGGCAGAAGTGGCACACCAGATGCTGTGGATGAAACTTGGCACCCATTGCGGTGACACAGCGCCCCAGGATGGGTTCCTGGCATGCCTGGCACACGCTTCCTCGGGACTGGTGGTAGTGAGCTTCACACAAGGGTTGCCCCTCATGCTCAAAGAAACTCCCGTTCACAAATGGGCTATAGCATTCCTGCAGAAAATAATGAACAATAAACGCTGGGTTAAGTTAGAAACCAAGAGAGACCAAGAAATTATATAAATATATAATTTTCTTATTTATTTATTTTTGAATCAGTGCATTTTTCCTGTGCCTCACCCTATCTAAACTATTTTATTTTCTACAATGACTGAATAATGAATAATTACTGTTTACTATTGAATTTTATACATGATTTAAAGCAGAATTGATTTCTGTTTGCATCACTGAATCATTATTTTCTTGTTTATCACTGTAAAGCTACTTTGAAACAATCTGTATGGTATAAAGTGCTACATAAATAAAGGTGAATTAACTTCTAATTTTAAACATCTAAAATATTTTTACCACAGAAGAGATTTATGTAATCTGAAAAAGAATCTAAGATTCTTTTAATGTGAAAAAGCTTACATTTGTAATATGTTTTGTAGTATGAAAACAGCAAAACAAATTAAATAGTTCTATTAGTATGGTTCACTCAAAACGACTCGCCTGCAGGCTGCACTTTTCATTGAAATGCAAGTAAACAAGAACCTTTGCCTGTAAAGCTGCAAAAAGATTACTATCAATAATTATGGAAATGTAGACTTCAAATCAACTGAGAACTTGAGATTTTGCCGCACATTGGAAGCACTGCCCACCAGCATGGCAACGTGGCAGAGGTGAAAATTATTTGAATTAAAGTACTTCACTACTAGTTAAGAATTGTTTTGGGGAATCTGTATTTTCCTTGAGTTCTGTTAAAACCGAATACTTGTTGTTGTTGTTGTTGTTTTACTCAATTACACATACAAGGAAAAATAATACTTTTTACTCCACTACAATTTAATGTAGACTTGAAAGTACAAAATACATTTATCATGTCATCATTACTTAAAGGGGTCATGAACTGAGAAATCAAATTTCCCTTGACCTTTTGACATATAACAGGTCAATATACTATAAAACATCCTGTAAGTTTCAAAACTCAAAACTTTCTTGTTAGTTTAATAACAGCTTTTATTGAAACCATGCTCAGAAAACAACTCGTTTTGGAATGTGCCACTTTATGTGGTTAAGCTCCGCCTCCGCAGGAGAAGATCAACGCCTATGTCTACATCACTGCCACTTTAGCCCCCCACTGATACGCGCATGTAGGAGGAGAGGAAATACTAGAGAGATGCAAACACAGGATTACTCCACCAACAGAACCATAGAGATGACATTACAAGATTACAAGACATTGTGTAGTGTAAGCTGTGAAAAATAGTCTTTGAATTACCTTCCTTGTGATCCTAACATATCTAGATCGGATGCGAGCACTGTTGCGTCATGTCGCGAATCCATTTCTCTTTCAGGTCAGAAGCGGCACGAATGCTTGTGTATGTTCTAAATAAAGACATCAGTTTGTTGTTGTGTCAATCAGTGCTGCATCCAATGTAGACAGAATCGCAGTAACACGGGGTAAAATTAGCAAAGATCTCCAGATCACGTCAGTGAAACACTTGCTTAAGCCCGTTTCCACTACAGGAACTTACCCCAGGAACTAGGGACTTTGGAGCAGTACTCGGTGTGTTTCCACCGCAGGAGCCAGGATCTAAATAAAGTTCAGGGTAAAAATTTGCCCCTCAGAAAGTCCTGAGTTTGCTGCTTAACATTCAAATACTTGACCAGTGTTTGCTGTAGCACTAGCAGTTTGCAGTACAATTTCAGACACTATCTGAAATCATCTTAAGTAAACACTCTTTTACTCCATATCACTGTACATATTGGTTTACCCTATTAATTCTTAAATAAGTAGTCAAAAACAAGTTATTAACTAACCATCATATTTAACAGTCTTGCATTCGATGTAGGAGAGAATTACTAAGCAAATAAGCAGCAGCATTTACATTTACATTTGGTAATTTTGCAGACGCTTTTATCCAAAGCGACTTACAGTTGGGGAATACATAAAGCGATTCTTCTTAAAGAGGCTGTTGTTGTTTTACTCAATTACACATACAAGGAAAAATAATACTTTTTACTCCACTACAATTTAATGTAGACTTGAAAGTACAAAATACATTTATCATGTCATCATTACTTAAAGGGGTCATGAACTGAGAAATCAAATTTCCCTTGACCTTTTGACATATAACAGGTCAATATACTATAAAACATCCTGTAAGTTTCAAAACTCAAAACTTTCTTGTTAGTTTAATAACAGCTTTTATTGAAACCATGCTCAGAAAACAACTCGTTTTGGAATGTGCCACTTTATGTGGTTAAGCTCCGCCTCCGCAGGAGAAGATCAACGCCTATGTCTACATCACTGCCACTTTAGCCCCCCACTGATACGCGCATGTAGGAGGAGAGGAAATACTAGAGAGATGCAAACACAGGATTACTCCACCAACAGAACCATAGAGATGACATTACAAGATTACAAGACATTGTGTAGTGTAAGCTGTGAAAAATAGTCTTTGAATTACCTTCCTTGTGATCCTAACATATCTAGATCGGATGCGAGCACTGTTGCGTCATGTCGCGAATCCATTTCTCTTTCAGGTCAGAAGCGGCACGAATGCTTGTGTATGTTCTAAATAAAGACATCAGTTTGTTGTTGTGTCAATCAGTGCTGCATCCAATGTAGACAGAATCGCAGTAACACGGGGTAAAATTAGCAAAGATCTCCAGATCACGTCAGTGAAACACTTGCTTAAGCCCGTTTCCACTACAGGAACTTACCCCAGGAACTAGGGACTTTGGAGCAGTACTCGGTGTGTTTCCACCGCAGGAGCCAGGATCTAAATAAAGTTCAGGGTAAAAATTTGCCCCTCAGAAAGTCCTGAGTTTGCTGCTTAACATTCAAATACTTGACCAGTGTTTGCTGTAGCACTAGCAGTTTGCAGTACAATTTCAGACACTATCTGAAATCATCTTAAGTAAACACTCTTTTACTCCATATCACTGTACATATTGGTTTACCCTATTAATTCTTAAATAAGTAGTCAAAAACAAGTTATTAACTAACCATCATATTTAACAGTCTTGCATTCGATGTAGGAGAGAATTACTAAGCAAATAAGCAGCAGCATTTACATTTACATTTGGTAATTTTGCAGACGCTTTTATCCAAAGCGACTTACAGTTGGGGAATACATAAAGCGATTCTTCTTAAAGAGGCAAACAGACACTGGAAGTGCTCGGGGAAGTCGTGGCCTAATGGTTAGAGAGTCGGACTCGTAACCCAAAGGTTGCGGGTTCGAGTCTCAGGTCCGGCAGGAATTGTAGGTGGGGGGAGTGAATGTACAGCGCTCTCTTCCACCTTCAATTCCATGACTGAGGTGCCCTTGAGCAAGGCACCGAACCCCAACTGCTTCCCGGGCGCCGCAGCATAAATGGCTGCCCACTGCTCCGGGTGTGTGTGTGTTCACTGCTGTGTGTGTGCGCACTTAGGATGGGTTAAATGCAGAGCACCAATTCCTAGTATGGGTAACCATACTTGGCCACATGTCACGTCACGTCACGATAGCCCCGCCCCAAACAAACACTTCTGGTTAAACCAAAGTACGCTTTCAGTAATGCCAAGTTTTAGGCATTGTTCAAATAAGTACAAGCTAGAAAGGAAAGGAATAAATTAAGAGAAAGACAAAGTTTTTTTTTTTTACATTTAGGATGAAGGATTTCATTTCAAAGGATTTACACAGTATGTATTTACGTATTTACACAACTGTATTTATGCAGCAGAAGCGGTCTATTATATTGCTGTGAGGATACGCCAACTAAGCTATGGATATTAGAACAGGTTAAAGTGAAATAAGCATTAACGCTGTATCCACCGTTTTTCTACTGAGCCTACTGACTGAAACAAATCATTTCAAATCATAAGGTTGCACTACAAATAATCCTTATCCATAAGTTTGACTGAATGAGCTATACATTTTCCTTCATTTTCTATTTTCTTCTCACTCCACTGCATTCTTTTCCACCTCATTATTATCTTTTCTTTAGTATTCTGATGCAACAATATGAAAAATTACATATATTGCGAATTTGTGGTCTGCTCTCCTGATTTAATTTATGATATATCTAATTAATAATTAAGTGGAATGCACTAAGAATCTGTTTTTCTCTCCCCAAATCCTCACGTCTCTTTCCAGGTTCACACAGCTATGCTAAATGTGTGCGACAGATTTCAGCTGCATGCAATGTTAGCATTTGTCATGCTCCCATCATTCATTTATAGCTTCTAACAACTTCTCACTTGTTCAAATAAGAGTAAAGAAAGGGTTATGTCGGTGACAATACTTGCTTCAGGTGGTTGCTGTTTTTTAACCTCTATCAGCTTGCAACGTGATATCTATTCATTAATGACAAAATGACAATTGCGCATTTCTCTATTAGAACAAGGTACATTAAAAATATTCAGTGACAAAAACACTTTCAAAGGCATTCATTTTTTCAAAAAATTTTCCCACAAATTCTCATCCCAACATGAATCTCCCATATGCCAGAAAAAAAAAGAACAAGTAACATTTATGTCACAACAACATTGAAATGCAAATAGAACAAAATAAAAAGATACATTTTCTGGTTGATCCCCTGAGAAAATATTAGATTTTTTCAGTTTTCAGAAACATCATTAAATCACTAAGCCATTAATGACAGTTTAGGTGGAATTGGTGATTTCCACTCTAAAAGAATTCTACCTATTAATGTTGCAAATGCCAAGGCATTTTCTTTGTCTTTACTTATGTTTATTGTCTCAGTTTAGAACATGACCAGAACATATGGGTTAGATCTGCCTTAAATGCTTTGCAACGATCACGTTTCATCTATATTTGGGTATAGTTTAGCAAATTGTGTTTTACTATAGTGAATACAGTAGAAAACTTTCATCTGAATCAAATTGAGTCGTCCACAAGATGAAGTCCTATTTATTCTGTTAACAGCTTTATTCCAGGTGTCTTCAGATATGTCAACTCTCCTATCTATTCTGTTTTGATCTTCTCTAGTGATATATTTTGGAA